CTCGACTGGGACTGGCTGAGTGGCTGGGCAGCTGGTGGTAGTTATTCCCCATGATGAGACATTCAATCATCTCCATGGTGGGATCTACCACAGGCAGCTGAGTAGCTGCCTTTGGGATGTGGTCTGCTTCCTGTATAGAAGGAGAAGCCTTGGGAGTGGTCTCTAGCATATGGCATGCTTGGACCCTGATGTAGTCATGTTGTTGTTCAGCAGCCTGCCATGCTCTGCTGACCTTGGGACTTAAAATAGACTTAAATTAATGGCTTGCCATGTGGTTTGGTAACATTGGGACTGTGCCTTTTTATTTGTCAACCTTGGGTTTTTCAGCCTCAGCATCTAGCAGCTGTCTGAGTGAAGAAACACCTCTAGCTCCAGTGGGCCGGGAGCAGGAGGTGGAGCTGGACCCCAAGGTTGCAGGGCTTTCACCCAAGCCCCTAGAGCCTGGCACTTGGAACTTGGACTTAAAGCCTCTGAACTATAAGAAAATGAACTCCTGTTTGTTAAGGCCATCCCATTTGTGGTATATTCTTGTCAGAGCAGCAATAGATAACCAGAACAACAGCTGAACGAAACACTGCCTGGTCCTGTGCCAGCTCCATGATCCCTGCTACACCTGAACCCATCATTGCAGCCACTGTGTCAATCCATCTTATTGAGGGCATTCCCCTTTTCCATTGACCCTCCACCTTACTAAGTATGGCATCCTTCTCCAGGGAATGGTCCCTTCTTACAACATGACCAAAGTAGGTGAGACGGAGTCCTGCCATTCTTGCTTCCAAGGAGCATTCCGGCTGAACTTCCTCCAGGACAGATCTGTTAGTTCTTTCAGCAGTCCAGGATACTTTCTCCAGCATTCTTCACCAATACCATGACTCAAAAGCACTGACTCTTCTGTGGTCTTCCTTACTCAATTCAGATGTATTAATACAAACATAAAGAGGCTGGGAATTGTTCCTTTCCTGTAAACACAGACACAGACACATCCAGTAGTATTCAAGTTCCCAAATTGTCAGGGAATATGGTGAGACAGTCTAGGAAGGTGCCATATGGAAGCTATTGACCTGATTAAAGTCTTTCCAAAGACACTGATATTCCATTTCTATGTGAAGTGAGTCAAGGCTTTTACAGTTTGTATCTTGGCTAAGGTTAAAGCTGAGTCAGAGCTGCCTCAGCCTCATCTCCTGCTCTTTGAGGTAAAGGGATGAGGGAAGTGTTTAACTTCACAGTCATAAGGAAGCTGGGGGAAAATCCCCATGTTACTCCCCTTTTGTTGGCAAAAGCCAGCTTCTGTGCCCCACAGTATGACAATTGTCTGACATTTCACACATACATACATGAGAATTCTCAAATACTCTCAGAAGCTAACCCTTGGAACTCTTTCTTTCAAGCTCTATCAGAAAGACACTGGATTCATGTGTCACAAATAGTGCTCTCCACACTGAACTCAATGCTGTGTGTTATGAAGAACCTGGCTGTACTTGCTACATTTATGATCCCTGAGCTTATTTACAATGCAGAGGCCCTTGGCAATATTTTTAAAGGCCTTAATTGTTCAGGAGATGCCATGGGGGGATTGAGTAGGTATATCCTCATGCAGGAGCATGCTAACTTTGCTAACCTTGACTTTTCTCCTTGGTTCACTGCTGTAGTAACTGAATGCATCATCTCTTCCAGCATCTTTAATTCCTTTCCTCCACTCTTTCCCTTCCTGTTTCTGGTCATCAGTAGTGGCAACATCATGTGATAGAAGCCATTCATTTCTTTTCATCAGTGTTTTTATGATACTTTTTTGCCTTTAAGGAAATAAATGTTGGTAGATTTTGTTTCATTCTAGAAAAGTTTTACAATCTTTATCATACATTTTTTACTAGGAAATAGTTTTGAGTAATTCCTTTAATCAATAAACATTTATAGGTGGCGACACATAATATTCTGCCATATGGCATGTAACTAGCATACAAATATGGGTGTCATATATTAGGAAACTTCTCGTAAAGAGGCTCAGAGGTTTATGAAATTTGGGGGAAGGAGGAAATTCCCTTTGACACTGAAGATCATAGAAGGTTCTGTGGAGTTTGAGGTATTTGGAATTGACCTTCAGGACTGGGTAGCAGGGGGATAGTTCAGAAGGGGAGTAGTAGACACACAGTGAACAAAAAACATGCAGTGGTTTTAGGGAATTGTGACTGGTCTTGTTTTGTTTTGTTCCCAAATAGTAGAATGTGTCAGAAGAACACATGGGATAAAAAGGCATAGAACAGGCTATAGTTGCCATATCCTAGAACCCTCCATGAAAATATATTTGTTTCTGGATCACTTTGGTTTTATAACTTGGATTTATTGTGTACCTTCTATATAAACTTTATCATACCATCCTACTTCATTTTAAATGTCACCATAGATTTACTTGTCTTTTTTTTTTTTGTATTCTGGGGCTAGGTAAAACATAATTATAGGAACAATTTCTGTCACCACTGCTGTCATCAAATAATACCTATATGTAAAGCTATTTGGCACTCTGACTCTACCAAGTTTTTCTAATTTTAATATCAGCATAAGGTACATGGCTCTCTGAAAACCCAGGCTGCCATTCAGGGCCATATATAATATAATAACAGACTGAAGTGATACAAAATACCTATACTCATTGTTCTTCCTGAGTGGATAAGGAGGACTGGTGGATTTTATGGATACAAACTCAATTCTTTGAGCATTGCTACTACAGTTTTTACCCCTACATTTAAGTTGTTAGTGCTGCCTTATTGTTTTCTGCCTTTGATGAGGAAACAGATAGGTGAGACCAGGCCAGTAGGTAGTATAACCACAGCTAGATACAAGTTAGAGATCAAATCCAAGGCATAAATTCACGTAGCATAATCCCTCAGTTACATGATACACCATTGATTTAATCATTGCTTTGAAAGGGAAAAGGTAATAGTACTCACATGACATGCTCATCTTTTTCAAGAAGCAATGCGTTCTCTGTAATGTTACAAATGAAAATGAAGGCCAGCATAGAATGAAGGGGAAGGATAAACATGTGTATCCTAAAGGCAAGGTCAAGTTCAGAGGCTAGATTAAGGCCCAGAATGTAGAAGTCAACAAAACAAACCAAGGGTCCAGATGGGACAGTAGAGATGAAGCAGGAGTTGAAGGGTCTGGGCACAGCTTGGAATCAGGATTAAGTTTAATTCAACACACCCAGGAAGATAATTTGGAATAGAACACTAAACATGGAGTTCTTCACCCAGCAGACTGGTGAGTATTAAGGTTGAAAAGGCTTTTGTATCTTCATCTGGGTTTGAAGTAAGTCCCCATGTGGCCCTTCACTGAGTGGACAGGTAAGGGCTGGCAGGTGGGGGTTATACCTAGTCTGTGCCTGGATTTCTGAGGTTGGTAGGCAGACCCTCTGGGGTCTCCTCCCAGGTGTGACAGATGGCTCTAGTCCATCACTGAAAAAGCCATATTACGTAATCTTGTGCTCTCTGTACAGTCTTATATAATATAGCTTCACTTCTCCTTTCCACACTATATCTCAGATGTTACTGAAAGCAATTTAAAATCTTTTCAGAGCACCTGCATTTCTATGCAACCTGATTCTAAAGTCATGTTATTTTTCTTGAACTTTAAAAGAAATAAAATTAGTTTTCTGAGGGGATGGTCACTTAGTAAGTGTGAGCTTCGGTGGAGAGGGAAGGGATGGCGGGCAGGGCCTGCCGTGATGCTTTTCTTTGCAGGGAGAGGACGGAGGTGGGTGTTGGGTGTGCGGGCCCCATCTGTTTATGTATGAAAGCAGAGGGTAAGGGCTCCAGGCACCGCAGTGTCATGTCATTGGAGGCTTCCATTCTGCTGATTCTTTCCTTAAGCACAGGGACAAGGGGCAGAAAAAAAGAAGAAATCAAATTAATGGTATATGTGGTGTATCTGTGCTTTGTCTAAAACCAAAAACAGGTTGTAGCCATCGAGTTGATTTGTACTCAAAGGCGGGGGTGGTGGAGGTGGGTGGGGTGAGGTGGTGGAGGTGGAGGGTGTCCGAGGGTGTCCGAGGGTGTCCGGGGGTGGGGGGTTGGGAATTCAAGACTACTGTGTACATAAAAAGATGTGATATTATAGGCATAAAACTACCATTGTGAAGTAAAAGACTTATGTCGTATTTATGTATTAGGTAAGTAGACCGAGGACAGTACATCGTTTATAGTGTTTGCTTACACAGTTTTGGTTGAATTAAATAAGGTATTGTCTTTGCAGTGTTGAAAGCCTTCTCTCTAAACAGAATTTGTACATGCTGTTTGTTCTAAGATTGGTTTAAGGCATACACTTATCAATAATAAACTAGCATTTCTTTTATAGAACCAGTTAGGAATTAAGCCTAATATTTCAAATGCCACTGCTGACGTGTTGATGTTGTTAACCTCAGAATCTTTCATTGATAACCTAAATACAAATGAAATATACTTATTATCCACTGGCACAGGGTTGCAATAAGTCGAAAGTGTAAGCTCATTAACCAAGTAGACAGTAGACAAAGAACACGTGTATTAAAAGAATATATTTCCTTTTTTTAGAATCTCAAGGACTAAGAAATCATTTTTGTGACATTTTGTGAACATGCAAGATATTTTGAAATGCATACATTGCAACAGCACATGAAGTTACTTCTTTCTGACTCAATTTCATAAATTGCTACATGAAGCACCCTCTAGTAGATAATACTCAGAAATCAGCACTTAATATGGCAGTAATGGTTATTGCTGTCATTCTTTACATCTTTAAAAATAATTAAGCATTACTGCATGGGCATTATAAAGTTCCCCTATCACCATTAAGAGGATATTTGAGGTTTGATGTAATTTAGCAAATTACATTATACAGTAGTTAAGGTTTTTATGTAGTGAAGTAAAATGTGTAGCAGTTAAGCACACTTACCATATAATGCATTGTACAGAGTTACATGTTCCAGCTGCTGCCAGCTTTGTTCCAGTGTCATTATTGCTTTGCAGGCTGACGTTCCTCAGGGAGTGATTCGAGTGCAAGCTCCCCATCTTTCGAAAGTTTCCATGGCAATACAGCTAACTGAAGAACTAAAAGCCAGTGATGTTCTTGCCAGGTTTCTCAGCCAAGAGAGGTAGAGGCCTGTTTTTGTTTTAATTTCTTTCATGATATAACTCACTTTCTGTCTTCCCCCTTCCTCCCCTCCCCCCTTTAAAAAAAAAAACAAAAACAAACTATGGGGTGATCAGTAGTGCTCAAAACATGAATCTTCCCAGCAGAAAAGAACACATGTAGCAAGTTTAACTGTTGGAGTGAGTTGAGGTTCTGTGATTTACAGGTAGTCCCCTGGCTTTGACCACTAGATGGACAACTCTTGCCCTGTTGTTGTTAGGTGTCCCTGAGTGGGCTCTGACTCACAGCCACCCTGGGTGCAACACAAAGAAACACAGCCCCATCCTGCACCAGCCTCACAATCATTTCTGTGTTTCAGGCCATCAGTGTAGCCACTGTTTCAATTATGTTACGTCAATTTGCCCTCATTGTGAAACAATTGAACCACCACTGCCACAACAAATTCTTCATCACAATCACCTTCACCTGCTGCACACTTGTGGCTTCTAAATCATTGAAAAGGCTTTGAGCCTTTTCTTGCACTAAAGGCTAAATAAGAACCGTATGCACCTATTCCATCTCACCTACGAATTCCACTTAAAGCCTTAAAGACACAGCTAGGAACGGATCTCAGTAACCTGAGGTCTGCCTGTAGTTTGTTTTCACCTTGAACCTGTTTCAAGCAGATGTCTGAGGATTCCTTCCCTGTGGCTGCAGTGGGCTTGGCATTGGAGACTACTCAGTATTCTTTCCAGGATATATTGACTGGAGGTTAATTACTGTTTGTAAGCCATTAACAAATGACTAATTAGGGTACGTTGTGATTAAAACAAACACATACAAAAACACAACTTTTTCTATTAAAGGTAATGAAGACAAAGTAATGCACACACACTAAGTAATGCGCAGATTTAAAAACCAAAATCTAGTGAGACGTGTAAAGAATTGACAGGACACCAGTCCCTGGAGCACTGATATCACAGAGCAGGGCTCACTGTGCTGGGTAGGGATCAAGACTTTTACCTCTATTCTGAGGCCGAGGGTGCCGTGCAGTCCTTTGAAAGCCAGTGGCTTCCTTCTCATGATATTAAAGTGTTCCCTTTCCAGGATATGTTGCTATATCCATTTATGAATTTTAGAAGTCCAAATACGTGTATTGGGTTTTCAGTTTTTACCTTTTAAATTCGTTTTAGCTAAGGTTATGTCTCTTAGTGTTCTGAAGTTAACTTGTCTAATTTTTTGTTAAGTCTGTTAAATCAGGGACATTGACATCTTGGTTTATGAATACTCTGTTTTGGTTTGTCATTGAATTCAATCTCATTCTAACATTAAAGGCTTTCAGTATAGTTTTCTGCTGAAACTTCTCCAATTTGAATACAGTACCACAAGTATTTAATATGTGCTTGCTCTGTTTAAGGACCTCTGCTAGGTGTTGGAATGGATATAATATTAATTTTAAAGTATCTTCCCTCAGGGTCATAAATTGGGAGATGTGATGGATCTGTGCAGTTAACAGATGGTGGTGAAATGAAAGACCCTGACTGGTAATATCTGGCCTTCTAGTAAGCCATGATATATGTCCCTCTCCATAACCTCTGAAGTCAGTACAATTATAATGTCTGCTTTGCTGATAAGAAAGCTGGAACTTCACAAGGTCACACATTCCAGAGATGGTGGAGCTGGGATTCTAAATCTGTAGTTTGTCTCCAAAAGCAGCCTCTCCACACTCACTAAAGGGTATAGTAATCATCACAGATCTGGAAGCCATTGGTGTAATCTTAGAGTAGATGGGATTTCTCAAGATTAAGACCTAGGAATATTTGGAAATTCTCAGGATTAAGTCCTGGGAATAGCTGGATTTTCTCAGATGCCTTTCACTTAAAGCATCTCTCTAGTTCAAGTTAGTCTATTTCTTCTCTGTTCTTTGCCTTGACTGAGTAGAAACCAGCTGTATGCCATTCTTCCCTGCAGGAATGAGCATGCACCTAAAAATCTGGCCAGACTGCAGATATAAACAGAACTTCTAGGCTTTGTTGTTGGATGCCATCAAGTCAGCTTTAACTCATAGCGACCCTATGTACAACAGAATGAAACACTTGCCTGTTCCTGTACCATTTTCACAGTCCTTGCTTTGCTTGAGCCCATCATTGCAGCAACTGTGTCAGTCCATCTCATTGAGGGCATTGCCCTTTTTCATTGACCTTCTACTTTGTCAAGCATGATATCCTTCTCCAGGGAAGGATCCCTTCTGATAGCATGACCAAAGTAGATGAGATGAAGTCTGGCCATTCTCACTTGCAGGGTGCATTCCGGCTGCACTTCTTCCAGGACAGATTTGTTTGTTCTTCTGGCAGCCCATGGTATTTTCAGTATTCTTCACCAACACCACAATTCAGATGCATCAGTTCTTTGGTCTTCCTTATTCATTGTCCTGCTTTCACATACATAGGAGGAGACTGAAAATACTATGGCTTGAGTTAGGCCCACCTTAGTCTTTAAAGTGACATCCTAACACTTTAAAGTCCTTAACACTTAAAGAGGTCATTTGCAGCAGATTTGCCCAGTGCAATATGACGTCTGATTTCTTGACTGCTGCTTCCATGGGTATTGACTGTGGATCCAACTGAAATGAATTCCCTGACAACTTCAATCATTTCTCCATTTATCATAATGTTGCTTATTGGTCCATTTGTGAAGGTTTTTGTTTTCTTCATGTTGAGGTGTAATCCATACTGAAGACTGTAGTCTTTGCTCTTCATCAGTAAGTGCTTCAAGTCATCTTCATTTTCAGCAAGTAAGGTTGTGTCATTTGCATATCACAGGTTGATAATGAGTCTTCCTCTAATGCTGATGCTGTGTTCTTCTTCATATAATCCAGCTTCTTGGATTATTTGCTCAGCATACAGATTGAATAAGTGTGATGAAAGGATACAACCCTGACATGCTTCCTTCCTGATTTAAACCACGCAGCATCCCCTTGTTCTGTTTGAATAAGAGCCTCTTGGTCTTTGTACAGGTTCCTCATGAGCATAATTAAGTGGTCTGGAATTCCTGTTCTTCTCAATGTTTTCCATAATTTTTTATGATCCACACAGTCAAATGCCTTTCTATAGTCAATAAAATACAAGTAAACATCTTTCTGGTATTCTTTGCTTTCAGCCAAGATCCATCTGACATCACCAATGATATCCCTGGTTCCATATTATCTTCTTCTGAATCTAGCTTGCATTTCTATAAGTTCCCAGTCAATATACTGCTGCAACCATTTTTGAATTATTTTCAGCAAAATTTTACTTGCATGTGATATTAATGATATTGTTCAATAATTTCCATTTTGTTGGATCACTTTTCTTTGGAATGGGCACAGATATGGATCTCTTCCAGTCGGCTGACCAGGTAGCTGTCTTCCAAATTTCTTAGCATAAATAAGTATGCACCTCCAGTACTGCATCTATTTGTTGAATCATTTCAATGGGTATTCATCAACTCCTAGAGCCTTGTTTTTCACCAATTCCTTCAGTGCAGCTTGGACTTCTTCCTTTAATACCATTGGAATCTGATCACATGCTACCTCCTGAACTAGTTGAATGTTGACCAATTCGTTTTGGTACAGTGACTCTGTATTCCTCCCATCTTCATTTTATTTATTTATTTTATTGTGATTTGGGTGAAAGTTTATAGACTAAATTCATTTTCCATACAGTAGTTCATACACATTTTGTTTCATGACATTGATTGCAATCTCCATAATGTAATAGTTCTCTTCCTATTTCCTCCCTGTGGTTACCTTTTCCCTATGTTCTTCCCTATGCATTGCTGCCCTCTGAGCTATATCCCTGTGCAAATGTTGCCCTTCTATTCTCCCATGATTGATTATTCTAAGGAGAGTACTTATCTGATATAAATATTCACCTTATTTGCCTGTCTATTGTTTGGCTGGAAGCCATGGAAGTGAGTACATTTCTAGGCCTGAAAGGTGACTAGGAGCCATAGTCTTGGGGGTTTCATCAGTCTCCATCAGGTGAGTAAGCCTAGTCTTTTTTTTTGCATTTAGTTCCACGTTTTTCTCCCACTCTAAGTAGGATCTCCTGCACTGATACCTTTCCAAGTGGTTGACAGTAGTAGCCTGACACCATCTAGTTATTCTGGTCTCAGGGTCATAGAGGCTGAGGTTTGCATGGTCTACTAGTCCCATGGAGTAACTGTGTCCATGTGTCTGGTTTTCTTCATTCCTCTTTGCTCCAGATGAGGAGAGAACAATTGTTGCTTCTAGGTGGCTGCTTGCAAGCTTTTAAGACCTCAGTCATTACTCACCAAAGTAGGATGTAGAACAGTGTTTTTGTGTAGTGTGTTATGCCAATTGAGTTTGATGTCCCCTGAAACTATAGTCCTGAACCCACAGGCCCCACAACTCACTTACTTAGGGTAGTTGGCTGTGGCTAAGAAATTATTATAACTTTGCCCCCTGTTAGTTCTATTTATAAGGACATTCTTATAGTACATGAAATATGTATGTAGAAATATTGTCTGCCATTTTATATATGGTCATGGATATATTCCCTTTTACCTAGACATTTCTGATCCTTCACCCTGTCTACCTATGTATCTACCATAGAGTAATGTTTGTTATTACTGACAATGCAGTATTGTTTATGTAAATGTGCTTATCTCTGTTGTCTGTACCTCTTGTGTACCTCTCTCTGTGTCTTTCTTTTCCTTATTGTTACTGTGTTGGTCACTTGCTTTTAGTATATTGCCTTTTCCTTCACCCAAACACTACTTGTCTCTTACCTGTCTAGTAATTTTCCATCTCCCTACCACACACATCCCTAATAACTGACAAAGATAGTTTCCTTCCATATATAAATCTTTCATTGACTCTTACAATAGTGGACTAATGCAATATTTGCCCTTCTGTGGTTGACTTATTTCACTCAGCATACTGTCCTCCAAGTTAATCCATGTCATGAGGAATTTCACAGATTTTACATTATTATTTAGTGTTGTGTAGTATTCCATTGTGTACCATAGTTTGATTATCCATTCCTCCATTGATGGGCACTTAGGTTGTTTCCATCTCTTTGTGATTGTGAATAGTGCTGCAATAAACATGGGTATATGTGTATCTGTTCATGTCCTGGATCTCACTTCTTTAGAATATATACCTAATAATAAGATTGCTGGATCAAGTGGTATTTCTATTTCCAACTTGTTAAGGAATTGCCATAATGATTTCCATAGTGGTTATATCATTTTATAATCCCACCAGCCAGTGTATGAAAGTCCCAATCTCTCTACATTTCTTCACCAGCATTTGTTATTTTCTTTCTTGTTGAACTTTGCTATTAGTGCTGGGGTGAGATGGTATATCATTATTGTTTTGATTTGCATCTCTCTAATGGCCAATGATCATAAACTTTTATTCGTGTGTTTGTTGGCCACCGGAATATCTTCTTTGGTGAAGTGTCTATTCATGTCTTCTGCCCATTTTTAAATTGGATTGTTTGTCTTTTTAATGTTGAGGTATTGGAGTTTTCTATACATTTTAGAAATAAGTCCCTTGTCAGATATGTTGTTGCTGCATTATTTTTCCCTATATGTAGGTTTTCTTTTTACTCTTTTGGAGAAGTCTTTTGATGTACATAATAATTAAATTTTTAGAATATTCCAGTCATCTAGTTCATCTTTTGCTGTTTGTGCATTTTGGGTTATGCTTCGTAGTCCATATTATGCCATAAAGTAGGGCCCCTAAGTTTGCCCTTCCAGCTTCTTTTAGTGTTTCCTGAAAACATCATTCAATATTTTGCCCATAGAATCCTTCAATATTGCAAATTGAGGCTTGAATTTTTTCTTCAGTTCCTTCAGCTTGAGAAATGTGAAGTGTGTTCTTCTCTTCTGGTTTCTTTCTTCTTGAGCTGTCCTTTGAAATCTTCTGTTCAGCTCTTGTACTTCACCTTTTCTACTCTACATTCACGAGGAAGTTTCAGAGTATCTTCTAACATCCATTTTGGTCTTTTCTTCCTTTCTTGTCTTTTTAATGACCTTTTGCTTTCTTTATGTATGATGTTCTTAATGTCATCCCACAACTCATCTGGTCTTCAGTCATCATCATATCTGTTCTTCAGATGGCCCCTAAATTCAGGTGGAATATAATCAAGGTCATATTTTAGCACTTGTGTTAATTTTCATTAGCTTTCACTTGAACTTGTATATGAGCAATTGGTGGTCTGTTCCATAGTCAGCTCCTGGCCTTGTTCTGACTGATGATATTGAGCCTCTCCATCACCTCTTTCCACAGGTATAGTCAATCTTATTCTTGTATATTCCACCTGGTGAGGTCCACATGTATAGCCACCATTTATATTGTTGAAAAATGGTATTTGCAATGAATAAGTCATTGGTCTTGCAAAATTCAGTCATGCGACTTCAGGTGTCATTTCTATCACCAAGGCCGTATTTTCTAAATACTGATGCTTCTTCTTTGTTTCTGATTTTCACATTCCCATCACCAGTAATCATCCATATATCTTGATTGCATGTTTGGTCAATTTCAGACTTCAGAAGTTGGTAAAATCTCAGTGTCTTTGGATTTAGTGGTTGATGCATAAATTTGAATAATAGTAGCATTCATTGGTCTTCCTTGTAGGCTTATGGATACTGTCCTATCATTGCCAGCACTGTACTTCAGGATAGATCTTGAAACATTCTTTTTGATGGTGAATGAGACACCATTCCTATTCAATTTGTCATCCCTGGCATAGTAGACCATATGATTGTCAGATTCAAAATGACCAATACCAGTCCATGTCAGCTCACTAATGCCTAGAATATTGATCTTTATGCATTTCATTTCATTTCTGACAACTTTGATTTTCCTAGATTCATACTTCACACATTCCAACTTCCAATTATTAATAAATGTTTGCAGCTTTTTCTTCCCATTTTGACTCATGCCCCATCAGGGAATGAAATTCCTGAAAACTTTTCTCCATCCATGTCATTAAGGTAGATGCTACTTTGAGGAGGCAGTCATATTTTGAGTGCCCCAGTCATATTTTGACTTCCAACCTAAGGGGCTCATTTTCTGGCACTATATCAGACAATGTTTCATGGTTATTCATAATGTTCTCCAGTAATATATTAGACAGTATTTCACTGCTATTCATAAGGTTCTCAGTGGCCAGTTTTTTAAGATGTAGATGGCCCTGTCCTCCTTCCCAGTCTGTCTTAGTGTGGAAGCTCCACTGAAACCTGCCCACTGTAGGTGACCCTGCTGGCACTTGAAATACTAACAGCACAGCCTCAAGCCTCACAGCAACATGCAAGCTGCCACAGTACAACAAACTGACAGATGACTGGTAGATTTCTAGGCTAGAAATTTCTAGGCTATTTCCAGTTAATTTACACAGTATTGACTCATGGGATCCAAGTGCTCAGTGTAGTCTATACTTGGGTTTTGTAATCTCTTTAATTCTCATGTTTTTAATCTGTAAAAGTGGACCATAATAGGACCTACTTTATAGGCTTGTGATAGTGTACTAGGAATAAGACTGTGAAGTACGTCGCACTGTTCGTGTGAGCCTCGTAGTAAGTGAAGTCCTCAGTAAATATAAATATAATTTTGTTGTCCACCACATTCTCCAACTGTTTCCACTTAGATTACACCAGTGTGAGGCAATGGAAAATGCTACTTACCGCTGTTGTTCTCCTTCCCCCCAGTGGACTGATGCATGACTTATAATTAAATTGTACCTTTATTCACCAATCTCTATATAAAGTCTTTTATTTGTTGGTTACTGTCATGCAAAGGCTTGCATATACCAGTAAACTCAGTTTAGGTTTCCTTAAAGTGGGGTAAAAAACTTGATGTTTTTTAATCAAGTCTCCCCAAACATTCAACTTTGTTTTCATAGAGAAAATGACCTTTACACTTATAGTTTATTGGGTTATTTACTGTATTACAGTTTTTTAAAAAAATTATTTAATTTGAAAAAAGCACAAACCAATTTAGATATAAACTAAGATGACTTTTGGTTAGAATATAACTCAGTAGGTGAGAGCTTAAGTGTACGTGTATGACTATATTCAGCCCTCAGTGTTCTGAGGACATCAGAGTTGATGAAGTTGGAGAACCAGATGAGTCATAATATGGATGGATGTTGGTCAGGAAATCTTCAGTTCTACTGTATTTTTCTTAATGGCTTGAATAAGCGTCAGACCTTGTTTTCTTTTAATTCTAGCAAGTGGGTCTTCAGAGCCTTATACCAGAGGTTTACAATCCACTTCCAAAACAAAACCAAACTCACTGCCATCAAGTCGATTCTGACTCAGAAACCTCATTGGATTTCCAAGGCTGTAAATCTTTATGGAAGCAGACTTCCTCATCTTTCTTCCATGGAGCAGCTGGTGGGCTTGAACTGCTGATCTTTTGGTTAGCAGCAAAATGCTTTAACCACTGCATTTTAAAAGCAGATCCTTGGATTTTGTCTGAAAAAGATTAAGTTAGAATTCCAAAAGCTCTGTATTTGAATTGTTAGTAAGCTTCCCAGGAAATTCTTAAACAGGAAGTTGTGAAAACATTGAAATCTACTAATTTTTACTGTTTAAGTTAGTGTTCTGGAAGAGTTTATTTGAGAATGTAGATTTGTAAATGCACCCTACTTGTTACAGTCTTTATAACAAACATTGACTTTCACTCTCCCACATATGGACATTTAACATAAATAGGGGGATGGAACTTACTACATCCATGTTGTACGCTATTATAGTTGTCAGCATTGAAAACACATAATAAATATTAACTAAATAAATGCAATGTGGAAAGTAAGGTGGAAATCTTTCTTTTTATATTTTTATGAAGAACTTCTTGTCCCTTATGCAAAGTAGATTGTCATGTTATTTGGTTGGGCAATCCTACTTCCGTAGTGATACTGCCTCGGAAACCCAAGGAGGGGTCGCTATGAGTCAGGGCTGACTTGACGGCACATAACAACAACAACAACAACAAAATGTTACTTTTATTTTTAATTTTACAAATTTAGATAGTGATTTATTATTTTGCCTTCAAATTCATGATTTGTTTGTTTCAATTTTCAAGTGTGACATTTTTGTTACTTATTAGGCAAATTTAGCAGATGAGGAAATACAAATGTGTTGATAATTACAGTGTGTCTAAGTTATGAATTTTCCATACATGTTAGAATTACCCAAGCACGTTAAAGTGATTTACTTGAAAGGTCTTTGATGCTGCAACTAATCTGTTTGTTTTTGTTTCTAATAGTGGGGTAGCCCAGACTCTCAAGAAAGGGGACATTTTCTTGTATGAAATTGGAGGAAATATTGGTAAGCACAACTTTTTTTTTTGGCTTACATTTCATATGCTGATTTGACATTACCAGTGGTTGTTACTTATCTTTCTAGGAAAAAATAATTTAGAAGTAAAATATAACAGTCCAGATACATTTGATGAAATGTATGAATTTGTGGATTTAATGGTCCAAACTTTTTCTTCAGGCTCTAATTGAGCTCCTTCTGTGCAAATGTCCATCATTGTTCAACTTTTGTACAGAAAAGTTCCCAATAACAGGAATTACTTCTAGAATAGTCATTGATGTATATTTTTCAAAACTAGCTTTTTATACACACAAGTCACATCTTAATAAAGGGAGTGATTGAGCTTATTTAAGGTCAAAATAACACTTTTACTCTGGTACAATACTTGATATTTTTAGTAAAAGCACAGATTGCTTTTATTTTAGACAATTTCCTACTAAATAATACATATGCATTGGTAACTTGGGGAAAAGGTCAGGGGAACTGGGACAGAGCCAGGAGGCAGCAGTAGGGATCCAGGTAAGGGGAGGCTGGAGAGGTTTCAAACAGCTAAGGGAGACAAACTTGTCTGTTAGTTTGTCCTACTGTGGTGACGTGTTGCTCTGAGTCTTGAGGCTGTTCCACTGGTGTTTCAAAACCAGTGGGGTGCACATGGTGCACAGGTATCAGCGTGGCTTGCAGACTGAGACAGACTAAGAAGAACAAAGAGGTCATCCACTTCTTAAAGAATTGGCCAGGAAAAACCTTATGAATACCAGAGAACACTGTCTGATACATTACTGTGCAACTTTATGAATAGTCCAGAAACATTGTCCAATACAGAGGAGGAGGATGAGTCACTGAGGTTAGAAGGCTCTCAAAATAGGACTGGGAAAGAGCTGCATCATCAGAGTAAAACCAGCCTTACTCATATGGATAAGGTAAAGCTTTCTAGACCTCCATCTGCTGATGTGGCATGACTCAAATTGAGGAGAAACAACTGCAAACATCCATTAATAATTGGAACATGGAATGTATGAAGTATGAATCTAGGAAAATTGGAAGTTACCAAAAATGAAATGGAGTGCTTAAAGATTGAGATCCTAAGGCATCAGTGAGCTGAAATGGACTGGTTTGGGCCATTTTGAATCAGACAACCATATGATCTACTATGCTGGGAATGACAAATTGAAGAGAAATGGCAGGGCATTCATCATCACAAAAGATGTTTCAAGCTCTGTCCTGAAGTACAATGTTATCAGTGATAGGATAATATCCATACGTTTATAAGGAAGACCCATTAATACTACTATTACTCAAATTTATGCACCAACCACCAAAGCCAAAGATGAGGAAATTGAAGATTTTTATCAACTTCTGCAGTCTGCAATTGACCAGACATGCAATCAGGATGTGTTAATTATCACTGGTGACTGGAATGAAAAAGTTGGAAACAAAGAAGAATCGCTGGTAGTTGGAAAATTTGGCTTTGGTGACAGAAATAATGCTGGAAATCACATGGCAGAATTTTGCAAGACCAATGACTTATTCATTGCAAATACCTTTTTCAACAACATAAACAGGGGCTGTACATGTGGACTTTGCCAAAAGGAACACATAGGAATCAAATTGACTACATCTGTGGCAAGAGGTGATGGAAAAGCTCAATTTCTTCAGGCAAAACCAGGCCAGGAGCTGATTTTGGAACAGACCATCAACTGCTCATGTGTAAGTTCAACTTGAAGTTAAAGACTTGCTTTAATTAAAAGAAGTCCATGAGAGCCAAAATATGATCTTGAATATATATCCCTCCTGAATTTAGAGACCACCTAAAGAATAGATTTGATACATTAAACACCAATGACCAAAAACCAGAAGAATTGTGGGATGACATCAAGAACATCATCCATGAAGAAAGCAAGAGGTCACTAAAAAGATGAGAAAAGAAGACCAAAATGGATGACAGAAGAGACTCTGAAACTTGCCCTTGAGCGGAGAGTAGCTCAAGCAAATGGAAGAAATGACAAGATACAAGAACTGAATGAAAGATTTCAAAGAGCAGCTCGAGTAGACAAAGCCTATTACTATAATGAAATGTGCAAAGACTTGGAGTTAGAAAACCAGAAGGGAAGAACACACTGGGCATTTCTCAAGCTGAAAGAACTGAGGAAAAATTTAAGCCTCGAGTTGCAATATTGAAAGATTCTATGGGGAAAATATTGAATAATGCAGGAAACATCAAAAGAAGATGGAAAGACTACACAGAGTCACTGTACCAAAAAGAACTGGTTGATCATTATCCATTTCAGGAGGTGGCATATGATCTAGAACCAATGGTATCAAAAGAGGAAGTCGAAGCTACAGTGAAGGAATTGGCGAAGAACAAGGCTCCAGGAATTAACAGAATACCCATTGAGGTATTTCAACAAACAGATGCCCCATTGGAGGCATTCACTCAGTAGTGCTAAGAGATTTGAAAGACAGCTACCTGACCAACTGACTGAAAGAGATCCATATTTGTACCCATTCCAAAGAAAGGTGATCCCATGGAATGTGGAAATTATTGAACATTATCATTAATATTGCATGCAAGTAAGATCTTACTGAAGATAATTCAAAAACAGTTGCAGCAGTATATTGACAGAGAGCTTCCAGAGGTGCAAGCCGAATTGAGAAGAGGACGCTGGAACAAGGGATATCATAGCTGCTGTCAGATGGATCTTGGCTCAGGGCAAAGAATACCAGAAAGATGTTTACTTGTGTTGTATTGACTATGCAAAGGCATTTGATTGTGTGGATCATGACAAATTATGGACAACATTGAGAAGAATGGGAATTCCCGAACACTTGATTGTACTCATGAGGAACCTGTACATTGACCAGGAGGCTGTCGTTTGAACAGAACAAGGGGACACTGCATGGTTTAAAATCAAGAAGGGAGTGCATCAGTGTTGTATCCTTTCCCCATACTTATTCAATCTATATGCTGAGCAAATAATCCAAGAAGCTGGACTATATGAAGAAAAACGTGGCATTAGGATTGGAGGAAGAATCTTTCACAACCTGTGATAAGCTGATGACACAACTTCACTTGCTGAAAGTGAGGATGACTTTAGGCACTGATGAAGACTGAAGAATACAGTCTGCAGTATGCATTACATCTCAATATAAAGAAAACCAAAACCCTCACAACTGGACCAATAAGCAGCATCATGATAAATAGAGAAAAAGATTGAGGTTGTCAAAGAATTCACATTGCTTGGTTCTACAATCAATGCCAATGGAAGCAGCAGTCAGGATATTAGATTACGTATAGCACTGGGCAAGTCAGCTGCAAAGGAACTTTCAAGTGCTGAGGAGCATGGATGTCTCCTTGAGGACTGAGGTGTGCTGACACAAGCCATGGTATTTTCAGTTGCTTCATATGCATGTGAGAGTTGGACAATGAATAAGAAAGACTGAAGAAGAGTTGATGCTTTTGAATTGTGATGCTGGCAAAAAATGCTGAAAGTACCATAGACTGGTAAAAGAACTAACAGGTCTGTCCTGGAGGAAGTGCACCTGAAATGCTCCTTGGAAGTGAAAATGGCCAGACTTTGTCTCACCTACTTTGGCCATGTTGTCAGAAGGGACCATTCCCTGGAGAAGGGTGTCATGCTTGGTAAGGTTGATGAAGGAGCGGAAGGCCTTCAACGAGATGGATTGCTTCGGTGGCTGCGAGTATGGGCGCATGGATCATAGACCTGGCGCGGGATCAGGTGGTGGTTCCTTCTGCTGTGCATGGGGTCTCTGTGTGTCGTAATCGACTCGACAGCACCTAACAACAACAACTTAGGAAATATAAATAGGATAAATGCATTAATTTTGACCGTGACGTGTTTTATTTCACCTGTGTGAAATGATCAGCATAGTGGATCCATTATCCCTCTCTTTAAAATTTAAAGTAAGCAAATTTCTCTGTCTCCTTATTTGACTGTGAAATGGTTACAGTGATATTGTGAAGAAACAAAATAATGTTAAATTCAAAATAGTAATTGAAAGTATTTTAAGGTAAGTTTTGTAGAATTTTTTTTTCTTTGTACTTAAGAGTGTTAGCAGCTATTCAAAGTTGAATACATGAATGTTAAGGCTCATTCTTAAACTTCACATAAACCATAACTACATTAGAAACATGAATTGTTAGCTCTGTTAACAGAGATTATTTCAATTAATGTATTTTATTTTTCATTTTGCTTTTAGATATTGAGGACTAAGTATGATTTCTTATTTAGATAGATTCAGAACTGTTGTCATTCTTAATAAAGATGAATACACTTTTAAAAAACCAATTAAAAGCCCATTACCCAAAGTATTTTCTAATTTATAAATTAATTTTCAACCTTTACAAGTAGGGAAAGACTACTCAATTGGCTTTTTGACTATTTTGGCCATGTTCTACTGTATTATTATGGGAAATGAGAAAGGATGAGAAGTATTTTGACGTCTGAGACTTCAGAGTTAAACCATTAGGCGTTAGTTTAAAAACTGCATTCCAGTTGACCCACTGTTTAACTGATAAAGTATCTCTCTAATAGGGGAACGTTGCCTTGATGATGACGCTTACATGAAGGACTTGTATCAGCTAAACCCAAATGCTGAATGGGTTATAAAGTCAAAGCCATTGCAGAAGATTTAACAAGCTGCTGATAACCACGAGGACTTAATGACACTTACTGGATCAAGAGTGTAAATGAAAAAATGGCAGGACTCTTTTATTGTTCAGATGCACCCACTATTAAAATGTGACACCCAAGCCTTAACCAATAATAGCTTTGTGCTGCTGCCAGAATTGCAGGGTTTATTATTATTAATAGTATTACTATTGGAACACCAATATCTCTGAAGTGAGAGGAAAGGGACTTAATTGGCTTTTAGACTATTCCCTTGTACTCTGTGAAATATGCCCAGATGTGACATCATTTTTCCTGATTTGAAAATAAAAGTCGCTTCTCTCTCTCTTTTTTTCTCCAAAATCTTATATACTGTAATATATGCTATATTGACTATCTCTTCTCTTATATCCCTTCTACCAGTTAGGTTTGCTTCCACCAAAAAGACTTGCTCATAATAATAAATACCAGGTGTGGCCAGTTGTGAAGCCAGCCCATCTCAAAGTACACTGAATTCAACAGTAGTTATGTCACTGTTGAACATTAATATTCATCTCTTTGAAGTATTCATTCATCCTCCTTCTTCCTGCTGTCTCATATGTGGTGATTTGGATATTTTTCAGTTCATCTGACAGAAGTTCACATAACTGTATCCACTATCAAGAAAATAGAACTGTCAGAAACTGCCAATTATTACTGAACCATTAAATACTGAGAATAAATAAAATATACCTATGTGGAATAACTGGATTATGGATATATTGAGAGAGTGAAAGCCAAATCACTTAGTGTATGTTGCACTCCTCTAAATGGAATTTAAAAAGCCATAGCTGGCTTTACCTATTGTCATGTTAGCTTTATAAATATGCATTATAGTATAATTCAGTAGTGGTTGGAAAATGTATTCTACTTAAAGAGGGATTTTCTTTTTTTCACTTACAAATAAATCTACCAGAAGAGTTGTTCTGAGTAAGACACAGTTGCATATAAGCATGCTTTAGTTTATATACTTATTTAAGTAATCAGAATAAATGTATTAGAATGCTGTGGCAAGTACTACTCCCAGGGATTTTAATGCACAAACCATATTGTGACAAGACATGAGTCTCTGCACTGTAAATAAGATGAATGAAATGAGAAATGTTAAATATTTTATGAGTTTAGAGTGTAGCAGATAAAAGGTGATGTAAATGAAGGCTGCACAAACTGTGCTTATGATACTTTTAGTAGAACTTTAGGAAAAATTCCACATTCTTATGTGGTCCTGATGTCACTCTAATTGGGAGGGAAAATGCTGTTAATGAGAACAGTTGTAAATTTTTAGCATATAATTACAAGAGCAGCCTGTGGATTTGATCACTCAAATAACTTTGTGGTGATTAGTGCCATTGCTTTTTTATTTAAAGAGAAATTTTATAATTAAATGCATTTTTCTAAATGATCTTCTCTTGGAATTATTACTTTTAATACTATGTGTTCATGAGTTTACTAATGGACTTTGTTGTTGTTAAAAGTCATTTCTACTACATTTTGCTCCTGTATAATTTTGAAAGTAGGAGGGTGTATGGGAGCTAGAAACTGTTTCTCTCCTTAGTTTTTTCCTTATGCTCATTTCTGTTCTTTAGGACTTTACAAGACATACTGTTTACCATTCTTAATTTTGAAAATATGTATTTCCCAAATAGCAAAATAATGGTTATTAATGCTTTAATTTAATAAAAGCAAATAACTATTAAAAGAGCACAATTAAGTACTTAAAACACTTCAGATGTGCATAGCGTCTAAAACAAAACAGGAGTGAATATGTTGTTTTAAATAAATGGTTTTATAGAATGTCTGCCAGCTAATTTTCACCATGCTTACTACTCAGCGGAGGAGCGGGGAGAGGGGGCAATAAAACACAAGAGGTTTTTGAAAATGAAAGAGTACCAGCTCTGGGTAGGTCAAATAAAGGCGCAATTTTGAGTCCTTCTAAAAAGTCAGGACGCACATTCATTGGCATTGAACAGTACTGCATGTAAATAACCAAGAAAGGTGTCTGTCTACGTAATGAAAGAGGAGAAATTTGAAAGTATACAGTCTCAAATATAAATATACATTTTTTTTTTGTAATTTTTCTTCAATCTTTTTTTCTTAGTGGGTTGTAAATATTTATTTTTATGTTAGTATCTGAGGAAAAATTAAAAACAACAAATATAGTTGCCTTGAGATTCAAACATTTTAACTCTTAAGTGAATTTCTGTGAAAACTAGACCTGGGTGTTTATAGAAGACTTAATATTTTGGAGATGTTTCCTCTTCTCTGAAGGAGGTCATTGTAATTCTTTACAATTCCACAGTCTTTGCTGACTGTTGCTGTGGGACTCAATGTAAATTTCTTGCTAACACTATTGAGGAAAAATCGTTTTACTGACTTGATGGAATTTTTCAATTTGATTGCATTCTACCTCACTTTTCTGCATTTTCACCTGCCCATCAGTAGGTGGCAGTATTGGTAAGGAATTTGTTTACATCTAAAATATGGGCGTTTTTGAAAGTGAACTTCAGTTCATAGATAAGTTCATAGGTAATTAATTGCAAGGCAACTAGACAAGAATAAGAACATCGCAGACCTCTCATCCGGATCACCAATTCTGAAATTACAAATCATCATTAATTGCAGTATTTTTATATTTAGTTTATTAGTCTTTTATCCTTAACCCATTGAGCAGGGAAGGGAGAGGTTTTTCAGACTCAAAATTAGACATTTCGACAATGTCCATTTCAGGTATAAAGATTGTGGCAGGAGATATAACAGTGAACCAGAAAAATTAGAAGGAAGGCTGTCTAAGGTAAGAGTGTGTAATGTATCTCTGTATTTTAGTGCATACATGTTCAGTTAGTCATTCAACCAATATTTATTGGGTATCTATGTGGAAGGCTCTGGTGGTGTAGTGCCTAAGGCATTTAACAGCTAACCAGAAGGCTGGTGGTTCAAACCTACCAGCCACTCCTCAGAAGGAAGTTTGGTCAATCTACTTACATAGTGATACAACCTCAGAAACCCAAGGAGGGATGGCTGTGAGTTAGAGTCGACTCCACAGCAGTAACTTTGTTTTTTGTTTTCTTTTTTATGTGGAAGGCATGCTCTACCCTTGTGATACATTCAGTGAACAAAATAACAAGCACTGTTGTAGACCTCCGGAATGTCTCAGAATGTCTCTCGCACAGAAGGGATTCAGATGTTCAGTCCTGGACATCCTGACTTTGAAGTGCCTGTTAGGTATCCAGGTGGCAGTATCAAAGAAGCATTTATATGAGCAGGAGTTCAGTAGAGGTCTGGGCTGGAGTCATTGCTAAGTGTGTGGACTTTAAACTTACACTATGTGTTTGCATGAGATTATCAAGGCATTGAGTGTAGATATAAAAAAGGAAAGACCAAGGACTGTGCCCTGGAGCTGCCCAACATTGTTGTTGTCAGTTGCTGTGGAGTTCATTCCTTCTTATGGTGACCCCATTTGTGCCACCCAGGAAGTCCTTCTTTGCCGTTAGGGAATAGGAAGAGGAGAAGGAACCACAAAGAGATTAAAAAGAAGTGACCTTTGAGATAACTTGAGAAATTATGGTATGTGGACAACTAAATGAAGAAAGGTTATCAAAGAGAAGGGAGTGATTATAATACCAGATGTCACTCGTAGCTCAAATGAGATGAAGTCTAGGAATTGACTACTGTGTTTATCTATATGGAGGTCATCATTGCTTGCTGAGAAGTTCAGGCAAAGTGACTGAAAGTCAGAATGCAGTGGGGTTAAGGGAGAACGGGAGAAGAAGAATTGAAGACAGTGAGTATGAATAGCTCTTACAAAAGGTTCTGCTGTACAATAGAAGAAATAAAAGAGACTAGCTAGCTGCATAAGTAGGTGGTGTGCTTTGTACAAAGGACCTTGAATGCTGGGCTTGGAATATTTGCAGTTTAATATTTTGAGGACAGGTGACAAGGGTACTGGAGCTGGACTACTTGGGTTCACTAATGTGACTTTGGACAAGTTACTTTACTTGTATCATTTCTACTTTGTATCATGAAAATAGTAGGAATATTTACCTCTTAAAGATTTACTCCTACTATAAGGTCGCTATGAGTCAAAACCGACTCCACAGCAGTGGTTTGTTTTTCCTTTATTTAGAGATTTACTACAATTAAATTAATCCATATAAAAGGCTCAGCAGAGAACTTGCCTTATTGTAAGTATTGAACAAGTGGGTATTTAAATTACTGGTATTATGATCAATATTATCAGAGCTATACCTTAAGAATTATCTCAAAACATTATGCCATAATCTTTATCCATATTCTTCATTGTCCTGGTTTTCTGGGCCCATGGCCTCCTTATTCTGTACTAAGTACCAATACTAATTCTTCCATCTCAATTGACTTCACACCTTGGAATCCGGACTTGACATCCAACCTATCTCTTTTACTTTGTGTTCTAACATATCGTATGGTGTGACTTGGCTCTGATAGAAACACTACAACCTCTTACCTCTATACAACCATTTCTTAAAATTTCTTTGAAGGATTTTTTGTCTTATTTGCACATGTAGCTGTATTCTGTAGAAGAGACAGATTGGTAGGAAAAGCTGCTTTTTGTGGTATTTCCAACTAAAACCAAGCCACACTAGCTCTGTCACAAACAAGCTTTTTATCTTGATTTCTCAACCAAAGAAGCTCAGCTAAGCTTCAGAGAAGCAACCCCACTCTCTGCTGCCTTTATTCCTCTTTTGATCTTCACCCTCATCACCCCTCAGCAGCTCAGTTCTGGCTCTTCTTGCATCTCCTGTAACATTTACAAAATGACAACTTTTGTGTAACTTCTGCCTTAAGTCATTGTTCAGTTCCAGCCAGGGCTAAAGCAAAGAAGAACTTTTCCCCAGATTGAAGTTCAGAGAGTCAGAAAGAGTGGCGCAGTTCTGAACAGTTGATCAGTTATTTTCTTTCACATGACAGTAACCTTGTTACACATACAAAAGGACATTGATTTAAAATCATTACCTGTGGCTTCAAAACTCTTATTTAAACTGAGAAATCTTTTAAAAAAAAAAACCAATTAGTCTGAAATTTTCC